TGTTAAACCGAATTTAAACAAGCTTAAAAGTTTTTTAAGAGATATTTGACACGTATTTTGTTTTACCAGCAATCATCTATATTTAGAGGGTGAAAACAGCTCTCGAAGGTGGAGATGGAAAGTATTTTTCTTAATATCTTGAAATTTTTTTCTGATATAAGAAAATATTGTATATACAAATTTTTGTACTTGAATGGCAAATTTGAGGGGGTAAGCGGTTTTGAAAAATATATATTTGTCTTATCCAAAATGATCTTTTGGAAGTATGGAAATTTGGGGATTTTTAAGTTTTGGTGTTTGGAAATTTGGAAATTTGGGAATTTGGGAATTTGGGAATTTGGGAATTTGGGAATTTGCGAATTTGGGAATTTGGGAATTTGGGAATTTGGGAATTTGGGAATTTGGGAATTTGGGAATTTGGGAATTTGGGAATTTGGGAATTTGGGAATTTGGGAATTTGGGAATTTGGGAATTTGGGAATTTGGGAATTTGGGAATTTGGGAATTTGGGAATTTGGGAATTTGGAATTTTTGGGAATTTGGGAATTTGGGAATTTGGGAATTTGGGAATTTGGGAATTTGGGAATTTGGGAATTTGGGAATTTGGGAATTTGGGAATTTGGGAATTTGGGAATTTGGGAATTTGGGAATTTGGGAATTTGGGAATTTGGGAATTTGGGAATTTGGGAATTTGGGAATTTGGGAATTTGGGAATTTGGGAATTTGGGAATTTGGGAATTTGGGAATTTGGGAATTTGGACATTTGGGAATTTACGAATTTGGGAATTTGGGAATTTGGGAATTTGGGAATTTGGGAATTTAGGAATTTGGAAATTTGGGAATTTGGAAATTTGGAAATTTGGGAATTTGGAAATTTGGGAATTTGGGAATTTGGGAATTTGGGGGCTTGGATATTCAGAAGTTTAGAAATTTGGAAATTTCATAAGTTAAGAATATGAAGATCTGAAAATTTGGAAACTTGGAAATTTAGAAATTCAAACATTTTCATATTTGTAATTTTCTGTATATACGGTGGTGATAGAACCTATTCAATCGAGCAGAACGAATCATTTGTAATCGACAAAGTTACGAATTCGTAGTCGAAGCAAACACACGTAAGTACATAAACTGTCACAGACGCTGATACCGCTGAATTTCCAAAACTAAGGTATCAGCAGTATGTAAAGTGTACGACGCATTCGCACGACGCGTCGCGACGCGACGCAGCATAGTGGTGTGAGACGACCGAAAGTTAGATTAACCTTCGATTAGACTCTATATTTACCTTGTAATTATGGTCTGATGTAGTCATTTGGAATAATCAAAAGCCTGCAATTATAAAATTAATAATGATTGTAAACAAAAGACATGTAGAAGTAAGAAACGTGATAAACATACTTTGAAATACATGAACCATTCTTTTTTAGTAGCGTAAATCCATTATTTGTTGTTACGGTATATTCAAGGGTTTATATTTCAATAAATTTAAAAATGCTGGTAAGCATTAATAAATAAATTTTTTGTATTTTGTGATGATAGATAATGCATGTTTATTATCCAACAATGTATAAAGTTATGGCTATAGGAATAAAGGTTTCATTGCAACGAAATGGAACCTTATTTTCAAAATTGATGAATCATTATTACTGTTAATTAAGTGGATAACATTTTAATTGTTCAGTTATACTTTTTTTACCTCTGAATAATTCTGATCCGAATTGTCTTTATACTCATATTCTAACCTTAAGATTTTTCTTTTATTATAAATTCTCATGACATTTATTTGTATAAACATAATAAGAATAATAAAATTCCTTGAAAATGCAGATTTTATCGGAGTAGTGTTCTTACCCAAAAAATTATTTTTATTTTGTTATTATTACCTACTAACTTCACTTTTTGATGCATCACAGTTATAATTTTCGTTGAAATCATTCTGGGCCATATTTGTTTTATTTTAACCAGTTAAGTGTGTTTGACGACTATATCCATCATGGAGATGTGGTAGAATTTTGTGTCATGACGACAGTATCCGTCATGCGTAAAATTTTGTTACAATTTGACATTTAAATTGTAATTTTGGCGAAAACTAAATTATATTCGTAAATTGTAATATGTTTAAAATGTTTAGAGGTCAATACGAAATGAAATAAACAAATAAAAAGTGTAAGTGATTTGAGATAGATTCATAAATTCTTGAGAGCTAACTTGTCATCGCTTGATTATCGCGACACACATTAGAGCGCGCTGTTCAAAAAGATCGCCACAGTTAACTGGTTAATAAAATAAACCACAATTCGTGACTAATTTTTAAGTAACAAGGAAATTATTACGAGGTTTCATACATCGATACCAAAACAAGAATCGCGTCGATTTTGTTGAGTATTTAGTAGAAACTGAACTAGTTGAGTATTTAGTAGAAACTGCACGCTAATAATACAAATTAGCAATGATACCTAGACAGACCTGCAGATCCTCATTCATATTGAGGTTATACCACCAATATTATACAATTTATCATTTTCTACAATATTGGCAGAATTACTCAAATTTTCCAGAGCTAAATTGTACTATACAGTATTTGGCTAAAAAGAATTTCAACGGCGAGTAAACTTGCACCACTTTCAAAATAGATTCTTTTCCTGTACCATTAATCACGCAAACTTCCATCAACTAAATATTACAAAATTTGAATTATTTTCACTATACATTGCTTTCAGACAAAAATATCATATTGCGTTTTTTCTATTGCTACCATTATCCTTTATTTATTATTACCATTTTCCATTATTTTTTTTAAAAATGGACTACCCCAATTTTCGAAATATACGGCACATCTGTACATATTACATATTTACTTAAATTTTTATTTAATGAACCCTCGATTTATACTTGATATGCAATTATAGAATTTAACAATTTGTTACTTACCTACATAATACCAAAAATAGCTAAAATAACAATTATACCTAGTATAATACCTAAAAATATAGCAATGATTTTTTTTAAAGACCCAAATGTTCAAAATAATCCTCGATGCCACACACGTATTTATGTAACATATGTGATACTTACAAAATACCTCGCAAAAATTTTGTTACACTGAAAAAATATTGCAAAATCGATTCAAACATTCAATTTTTTTAATAGTTTCATAAATAATACTTAAAATAATAACGAACCTTTTGTTTCAATCTAGGCTACTATACAGTACATAAAGGAAATCAAAATGAAAGATTCGATTGAAACAAATTTAATGGACATGAGAAAGGAATGAATTTAAAAGTATCCATTAAATGTACACTGTCCTAGATATCTTTAATTTAACAAATCATTCAAGCAAATTTTAATGATGTGCATACAATGATATAAGATTGAAGCAATTAATGTGTAGATACATATTACATGAAGATATAGAAACATGTATGAATGAACAAATATTTCTGAATCATATTAACTGCAGTGACATCTACAATTTAATCATCCTCACTTTAGTAGAATCTATCAAACATGACATTTTTATCGTATTTAAAATAAGCATTACTTGAATTTAACCTCAAATGGACTTTTGCGAACTCTTGTAGAGAATCCCAATGATGTGTGAAGTTGTGGAAGTGAGCATGTAGATACTCCGTAATTTTAAAGATATGAATAATGAAAGATACGTACTTTCTAAGTCTGCTATGAATATGTAGCACGAAGATTGAAGCTACTGAAGTTTCGAGGGCGAAGTGAAACATTGTTGAGTTTCCATGTACACTCGAGTGCAACATGCTCTCTTTTGTATAAGGATAAACTTTCGACAGTTTGATAAATTCCAAGTAATCAAATTTTTATGGCTTAAAGTTCAAGTTCTCGTATTTTCGAACTTTTTAAATATTCAATTTACGAAGTGTCAAATTCTGGAAGATGCGGGATGTTAGATAGATATTCTGATATTCTGCTAGATGTATTTTACGAATTCTTTTCAAAATTTTCAAACTTGTAGGTGTACACATTTCCAAATTCTCCAATTTTTCAAACTACTAGATTTACATAAATTTTTAATTTGCCAAATTTTGAATCTTCTGTGTACAAATTTTCAAACCCCTAATATATACAAATTTCCAAATTTCGAAATTTTTACATTTTGAAAGCTTCAAATTCTGATATCTCTAAATCCCTCAATACCTACGTCCCTAGACTTTTAGAATTCAAAATTCCTAAATCGTTAAATTTCAGGGTTCTCCAATTTCTATATACCCAACTTTCAAATCTGCATACTAGGTGATCCTCACATACACAAATAAAGTTATGATTTCAAAACGCATAGATAATTTGATGATTTCTTTTTCTTGATATATTACAATATTAAAATTTTCCTTTCTAGTGGAATTAAGGTAAACCCATCAACTTTGTGCTGTAGAACCTTAGAAAAGTATCATAAAGTAACGTTTATCGACTCGGTTTAGGGTAAACTCGAGCTTACCCGAAATTTCATTTGTAACAAAATATTGACTCTAAACCTAATGCACACCTTGAAATTGAAAATTAATAAACGATAGAAATAAACTAGAACAAATATCAATTACCTCAATAAACATGGACATATATTCCACGAAAAGCATCTTACCAAATGTTACTAATACTAAGCATCCTACTGATCTAAAACAAGGAACCGGTCATTTGGCTTGGTAGTTTCAGCGTTAATGTAGTGTGTTAACTTCTCCCCGCAAATCTAAGCGACATGCAGCATTCAGAGCGTGCTAAATGATTATCTCTTAAAGAACAAATTCATCTCTGGACTGCATTCGTCAAAGAAACGTCGATCGTGATTAGAAAAAGATAGGGCAATTACGTAGCATTAGCGAGTGCACTCGGCAGCGACTTAAGGCCGCGGGCCCTGACAATTATGCGAAGACACGTCACAAAGTGAGTGGCCACTTCAGCGTGGCTCGTGAACGACGAAGCCCAGGACGACGATTCTTGAAAGCGTGTAATTCGATTAGCATTACGACGTACTTGTTCTGCCGTCGGGTAACAGCGTGTCGAGTGCATTGAGGGGGTACGCCGAGCAGGTGATATTACTGTAGCGCCAGAATTCTCGTGCAGACAGTTCCAACATCTCCCGGAAGACCTCTGCACGACCCAGCTGGCAGGCGAGGGTCAATGGGGTCAGTCCAGCGGCATTCACGATCCCATTGCGAGCTGGAAGCTTTGGATGGCGGAGGGCATACCCGAACATGTCCTGTGTTATACAACCATGTTTTTATACTCAATTTGTTAGACTCCGGTGACAGGAAATTAACGACGCAAAGTTTCAAGAACAGTTACCGACGACCCACGAATTGGCGCATGAAACCTGAACCAGGTGTTTGGAGGAGCGACGGCCTCAATTGGTCAGAATAGAAAAGTGGACGTTTCGCATGTATTTCCGGCGTTACAATTGGCTCGAGCGGTCACAAATACCAATTAGGCCAAAAATAATGACAGTCGTCTCAAGAGTAAGTGAAATAGTCAGAATTGTGTGATGTAGTTGTTATTGTTATTATTATTCTTATATACCGAAATGTAACGCTGGAATTGTAAGATAAGAGTAGTTTCTTTTATTTTAGGTCGACCTTCTCATGCGCCAATTCATAGATTGACTACGGTAGAAAATACCTACAAAATGGGACACAGCCCGCATCCCCTTGACCTTGATATGTGTGTTCTGAGTAACTTTTCCTCATAACTTAATAGTCACTCGTTTATTAAAAAGTTGCGAACGATTATTATTAACCATAGTTATTAACCATATTTGTAAAAATCAAAATTTGTACGTAATGTGAATATGAAAAATTTCATTATTCTGACAACGGTTTAGTATTTAAGAATTTTTAATGTTTAAAAATCGGCTATTTCGTATGCAACAACCTAATAGAAATAATCTTTCTAACTTAACTTATTTTATGAGAATAAACGATACATAAGGGACAATAATAAACGTTAATCATTCTCAAACAAAAAAGACGAAAAGAAATTGCCGTTTAGTTTACTCTTTATAATAGAGGAAGTGTGGCAAGAACCATGTTATAAAAGGTAAAATACCAGATTACTGTACTTTCAGCGAACTGATATAATGCGCTGTCACAATGTACACTACAATTTTTATCAAATTGTGCGTGTATTAAAAAACTTAAAGTTTTCTCTTTTCAAGTAATATTGTTTTCTATGGTTATTTTCGAGTTATTCTTCATAATATAGATTCGTGCAAAAACGTGCATATAATTTTTTAATTATTAACCGAACGCGAATAATGGACACATATTATTGCAGTTATTTACGTATAGTTTAATTTATTGACATGTTTAATATTAGCGTTCTCCTATAAATAAGAAACAAAAAGACTGGAGAGTTGTTCGGATTTTAGCTGTTGGATTAACGGTGTTGCGAGAGCATAGAATTTTTAGTTTTGTCGGTTTTGCACGATGTCGCGTTTTTTCTATTGTCTTCGCGCGTTCTTCGCTCTCTTCCGTTGCGACGCTTCGTGAGGAAAGATACATGATTGTAATTAAGAGACTATTTCTTCTCTTTTCATTAAGTTGGTTTCTTTATACAATGTATGTACTATCTCCTTGCTTTTTATTATGATTAATTATGGTTGTGTTGTCAATTATATTAAATTTGAACAAAGATATCAACAAATATAATTTGTAAGAAAAAGAAGAAAGTGTCAATAATCAGATCAGTATCAACTATTGGGGTTTTACTATATACAGAGTCTTATATAACTCTAGTTCTTAGAACGAGAATTCCTATAATGCCCCAAAGGTATTGCGAGTATTGTTTTCATATAACGTAATTTTTCGTACAACACGCAAATAATAAACCGCAGGAAATACAGGAAGCCATATTCAAAGATTAAATCTGCTTTAGTAAAGCATACATTATTTCCTTCGTCATATAAAGTATAATTACATTTTTACTAAACTTCAATGAAATAAATATTTTTTACATAGATTAATTACTTATATTTTTTAAATCAATTACGCATATATGCCACTTATTTTTAAAATACTGTCCTATGTGATAAAACATAAAAAATGAAAGTTGACAAATCTAAGTCAGGTTAGTATACGTCATACGAGAAATATTTTTGTATGACACAATTTCTTACAACGCGAATTCAAATAACAGACCATATAATCGCGTTATACGTGACTCTACTGTATACATATTCAGCAAAGTCGCGTTAACTGATCGCCGCTTGGTTCTGAAAGCGATCAGTTACCGTGAACGACGTTGATTTTGTGGAGCAAACCATTGACGTAAACAAAGAAATATCGTGCTGCGATTATGATTGATGTAGCCGCAGCTCAGGACTATGTATCTGTGTGCTACATTTTATTATATTGCATACATATACAATTCTGAGATACATTACTTCAAACCACTGCACAATGTCGCTTTGCTCTCATCAACAATTCGCTCCTCGAAATTTGTTTCACGAACTGGTGCCTGCATTTGTTTATCGAAGGATTTAAACGATCAACTAACGCGACTTTACGCGAGAATATATACTATTTCGACGTTCAATTTTCTTATCACCCCACTTTCTCCTTGTTAAAAAAAGAAAAGTGGATGACATCTACTTTTCGCTCTCTTTTATCTGAAATGCAGTACCTCCCAGAGGAAGTGCGCCGTCTACTTATAGTATGTCTACGATAAATTCGAGACAAGAGAGAAAGCGCAATAATTCTTACAAGTAAACCTACCCAAGTGTCACTCTCCGATTTTCATGAAATTTGGATATATTATAGTACATGGAAAATTAGGGGACACGTATTTTTTTTTAGCTGCGGTAAAACATATTTAGGGTATGAAACAACCCCCCAAAGTGTGAGGATAAAATGGAAAAATTGCGATATTTTCGAGATCAGTGAAGCAATTTTGATGATTTTTGGTATGAAAGTATTTTTCGATAGAAGATAAAAATTGGCCTAGGTATGTTGGAAGGGGAGTGAAAATTAGG